AGAAGGCAGAAGGGGACAAGGAAGCTGGTGATAGGGAACCCAAGGTTAAGTAAGGATAGTGTTGATGTGAGGTTGTTGACCATTGTCATAGGGCAACATGTGTACTAACTGTTAAATGAGAAACTATTTTGTTCTGTAAGTCTTCATCTAAAGTGAGAATAGCAGCACAATTGGGAGAGCGTAGTCGATGCACTGATCTGTGCATGTGGAAATTTTTGAAATGGTGTATCTTTGGCTACGTATATTTTCACCAAAAAAAAAAGGTCGAGAAGGGAGAGGGTTGACATGTTGTAGGGTTGTTAACCAATGTCATAAAACAATATGTGTACCACTGTTTAGTGAGAAACTGTTTGTTCTGTAAGCCTTCACCTGAAGTACAATAAAAAAAAAAAAAAAATTAAGAAAAAACAACAACAGAAGAATGCCCCCTTTCACCACTTCTATTCAACATTGTATTGGAAGTCCCATTAAGACAAGAAAAAGAAAATAAATATATAAGGATTAGAAAGATGGAAATTAAACTATCATTATTTATCAATTGTATTTCTCTTTCTACATTAACCCAAAAATATCTATATAAAATTTACAGGAAATAATATAATCAAGCAAGCGTTTCAATGTAAGACCAACACATAAAAGTAATTGAAATCTCTCATCCTTTAACAGGCTAGTCTGGGCATGTTTCATGGTGAATGGCAGAGGCAAAAGAATAAAATGGAAACATTCAAGTGCTTTTTCAAGCCTTTGCTTGTGTTATATCTTCTAATAACATATTGGTCAAAGCAAGTCACATGGCTGATCCCAGGATCAAAGTGGGGGATACTACAAAGGCAGTGGATACAAAAAGGAGTGACACATTGAGGCTGTTTTGCAATCTACCACAAATGCCAAGGTCCACTTCTAAAATTCTTTTATATTAATGATGAATTCTAAAAGTTGACCTCTGTCAAAAATAGCATCTCTATCAATTAATTAGAAAACCCTGCAAATGCACACACACACATACACAAATTTATAGAAAATAGGCAGAAGGAGAGGCTGGAACTATCTTTCCTGTGTTTTGGCTGGTGCTGAGTGGAATGACTGGTTTGGGAGAGGAGGGACTAGGTTCAGCTGTGGTGCTTTGTTGTAAAAGGTAGCCTGGCCTTTGCTACTGATAAGAAAGATGGAGCCTGGGTCTCGAGCCCACCTTCAGTGTACCTTTGTCGCATGGTACAGTACATGTGCTGGCTTAGAGGAGGGTGAGGGATTCTTTTCAGTCTGAGAATGAGTGTGTGTGAGTGAGGCGGTATCCACATTCTCAACTTCAAGTCATTGAAGTTTCTTTTTCCCCAAAAAAAAAAAAAAGGGGGTTAGATGTTGCATTTCATAAAACTAACCGAAGTTCTGTCTACTGATGTAGCACAAGAGATGTTTTTTTTAAAAAAAAAAAAAAAGGAAAGACGCTCTTTAGGGTTTTTGTTTTGTTTTGTTTTCTTTTAATTATCTTTTAGGGAAAACACTGACGAATGGTCAGAGCTCCCATCCTGATATTTTC